CTAGGATAAGACTTAGTGAGTTTTTCCTTGTTAATCTTCAAGGATCTAAGCAAGAATTGAAGGATAATTTGTTGAAGATCACTCTCCCACTATAAAAGTATAAGATTTTTGCTCAAAATGGTCCATTGCATCTATTTTAACGAAGTAGGGTCGGCTAATAAATATCCAAAAATGAAGCTCCGAAACAGGATCTGCGATCACATATGTGACCGAATAATGCTTCTACGGTCCATGAAATGGCCCTCCAGAACTGGTCAGGTCTGCACCACTCTGCGGCTATTATGCGGTCCGCAGACCTCTTTCTGCGGTCGCATAATGCTCCGCAGAACCTCCCTCCGAAAAATTTCCATGCTGAATCTGTGATCAGTGTGCGGCCCGCAAAATCATTGTGCAGCTGCATAATGGACCGCAAATTGGTCCCACAATTTTGCTCAAGTTTCTGCTGCACTCCGCGGCCATTCTGCGGCCCGCATAGTGATTCTACGGTCGCATAATAGGCCGCAAAAATGTCATTTTTGCCAACAATTTCTTTTAAATCCTCAGCGCACTGTTTAACCTAAAAAGTCCGTACCGCGGTCTTTAACACATAATTCTATCTCGGCACCATTAAATCCCAGGTTTTTAGGTAAAATTTTATAGGGCCTTACATAGATGAACCTTGGTAGGGCGGCGATACGGCCGATCAACCTTTGAACTTGTTTTTTGGTGGTCAAGTGTTCTGGTATCCCCTCGATGGCTTTGATTTGGTCAGGATTGACCTCGATACCTCCTTGTGATACTAGGAAACCTTGAAACTTTCCTGAGGCCACACCGAATGCACACTTTTCAGGGTTTAGTTTCATTCTATATCGTCTGAGTATGTCGAAAATTTCTCTCAGATGGGTGATGTGATCCTCTTTCCTTTTGGATTTGACCAGCATGTCATCTATATAGAGTTCCATTGTTTTACTGAGCTGGTCCTTAAACATCCTTATCGCCAACCTTTGATAAGTTTCCCATGCATTCTTTAGCCCGAAGGGCATGACCCAGTAGCAATATGCTCCTTGATGGGTGATGAATGTGGTTTTTTCCGAATTCTCTTCTTCCATGAAGATTTGATTGTAACATGAGTAAGCGTCTAGGAAGCTCAGTAGTTCATGCACGACCGTCGTGTCGATGAGTTGGTCGATATGAGGTTACGGGAACAAATCCTTGGGGCATGCTTTGTTCAAATCTATGAAATCCATGCACATCCACCATTTCCCATTCTTCTTTTTCACCATGACTACGTTGGCGACCCACTTGGGGTACTTCGACTCTTTAATGAAGCCATTTTATAACAATTTTCCACCTTTTCACATACTGCATCATTAATTGTAGAGTTGACCTTGCGCTTGACCTATCTTACTAGGGGTGGAATGGGTTAACGTTTAGTTTGTGTGTGACGATTTCCTTTGGGATTCCTAGCATATATGCATGGCTGAAAGCAAACAAATCTGCGTTAGCTATTAACAATTGATGGAATTTACTTGGTTTTTGAAGTTTGCAGCTGATGTAAGCCTTCTTGTTGTGGTCGTTGAGGTCTAATTGAACGGGGTCAAGGTCTTCTATGGTCGATCCTATAGCTTTGACCATATCAGGGTCTCTGATGTCGTCCTTGTTGTCGTCATGTGCCGACCTCGACCCTCTTGATTTCTATGCCTCTTTTTCTTTGTCCCTTTTTTGTTGGGTGGCCGTGTTGTCTAGGGCAATACGGTAGCATTCCCGATATATACATTGTCCCCCCTGTATACTGAATATTCCCTATGGAGTTGGGAAATTGATGACCTGGTATAGGAAGGGACGACTCTCATGGTGTGTATCCATGGTCGCCCTACTATGGCATTGTACGTTGTAACTTGGTCCATGATATGGTATGTGATTTCTGATAATAGGCTATATTCATGTAGTTTAGCGACCATTTACGCCCCAACTTAGCTATACTTTATTGCTATATGAAGGTTAAATGACAACAAATGGCTCTAATTATGAATTTTGTGCTTTTCAGGAGTAAGTCTTGATTATGAGGACATTGAACAGTGTTTGGAGCTAATTTGAGCAAGGAAGGCCAATCGGAGGTGAATGCGCGTGAAAGAAGAAGGAAAAAAATGAAAGATAGCTGAACTCCAGGAGCGCGGGCCAAGCGCGGCCGCACTCAGGCCGTGCTCGTCAGGCAGAAAAGAATGCAATATGCGCGGTCCAAGCGCGGTCGCGCTCGTCACTTCGAGGAACATTATTTCCAGGGGTAAATTTGTAAGTTCGGGGGCAATTCTCCTTAACCTATAAGAAGCCCAGCTCGCCCAAAAAGAAGGTATCAAGGTTTTGAAGGATTATTGAAGGCAAAAAGAGGCAAGGCGGAAAATTCGGCATAGCGTTTTACCTTTCTTCCTCTTGTTTTGATCATTAATGATGAATTCTACTGTTATGATTGTGAAAACAATTATGTGTAGCTAAACTCTTAATATAGGGTTTTGATGGAACCTCTTGGAGGATGAATTTCTGATATGTTAATATAGATTTGCCTTAATATTTTCTCTGTTTATTCAACCTTATTGTGATTGTTGTTGATTGAAGGGCCCTCAATCGGATGTGCCTATTTAGTATGCATTACTCGGGAGAGAGTGTATATTTAGGTAGTTATTAAATAACACCACTCCTAACGTATATTTGGGATCAATACGAAGGGTTTAAAGGTGGGATTAGGGATAACGAAACCTTGGGTGCGATCTAAGTGAGTTGTAACTAAGTCCAGCTAGCGTAATTTGGGAGAATATGTCTAGTATATTGTTGTAATTACTCGGGAGAGAGTTGTGACAGTCAGAGTGATCATGATCTATAGAAAAGACTTAGGCAAATTTATAGCAAACATAGCGGAAAGGATTCCGACAAGAGGGGAAATCGGAACCTTAGACCTTTCTCATTCTTGCTTACAACTAGTTTATAGCTACTTCCTAATTACTGCATTTTTATTACGTAATATTTAGTTAATAAACACCCAATTTGTACTCAATTATCTCTGAAGATTGAATACGTGAATTTGTATGAGTCCAATAACTTTTATCGATAGGTTAATTTCCGGTGGGATTCGACTTCGGACTTGTTAACCGGAATATATTTGCAGCGATCGCTTTGTCCTTTTTATAAGGCATAGTTTTGCGTGATCAAATTTTGGCACCGTTTCCAGAGAATTAACAGTGTTATTGATTGCAGTTAAAAAGAAGTGCAAAAATTCTAGTGTAGTCAATTTTCGTCAATTTAAACTGATCATTGAAATTCTAACGTTTGTAGTCGCGGTTGTTACAGGCGCATGCCTAGAAACTCCTCAAGAACTGGAGAATTGCTCGAACCATTATCAAATCCTGAGAAAGTGTTCAAGGCATTGAACCGTGCAAACAGGAAAGGCAAACAACAACAGAACTCAACTGAAAAAATTGAACCAGACATGGAAGATGATAATCTAAACAACACAGACAACGTGAATGATCCAAACAACAGGAACAACGTAAATGACCCAAATGATCAAGGTGTGGCACCTCTTGTGCCAAAAGCAGCACTATATGATTAGGCACAACCCATAGTTGACAACTTAGCAACTGCTATTGTCGTCCCTCAGATACAAGCAACTTCATTCCAGATCACAAATAACATGCTACATCTGTTGCAGAACAAGGGACTTTTCTCTGGGTCATACGTTGAAGATCCTCAACAACAAGGGAATTTCCTATCAATTTGTGCCATGTAGAGGCAACACAACGTGACACCATAAATAATACGTTTGTTGTTATTTCCATTCTCAGTGACAGGAGAAGCTCAGACTTGGCTTAATTCACTTCCTATCAACTCCATCACTACTTGGGAGGAATTAGTTAAATAATATTTGAGCAAATTTCATCCATCCAATAAGACTGCTCAGTAAATTGATGAGATATTGAGCTTCAAACAGAAACCAACTGAGACACTACACGAAACATGGGAGAGATTCAACGGTCTACTTGTTACGTGTCCACATCATGGTATTCCGGAGCAGATGTTGGGGCAGAGATTTTACATGGGTTTGGCAGATAGTTTGAAAGCCAATGTTGATGCTTCAGCAAGTGGAGCAGTTTTTAGCAAAATATTCAGAGAGAGCAAGATCCTACTTGACAAGATGGCACAAAACTCAGGATGGGCAACAAGAAACGCTCCAATCACTCCTGTGTTTCACTTAGTGACTCTAGACCTAGCTACCTCCATAGCTAAAAATATGGCCACCATAATGATACAAATGAGCATCCTCACCAAGAAGGTTGAAGAATCAGGCCAGAAGCAGCAGGTACACATAGTTGATTTAACTAATGGGGGTCTATGTATATCATGCATTAACCAACCATATGTCTGCTCATGGAATGCTGAAGGTGAAAATCAACAATATCAGGAGAACATGAATTATGTGGCCAACTACGGGGGACCCAGACCAGGTGGTCAGAACTGGGGTCAGCAGAATCAATAATACAGACCAGCTCAGCAGCAGTACAATAACAACAATAATCATGGGGCTATTCGACCATAGAGGCAAATAATGCCTTACAAAAGGCAACAAGGGTACAACCAACAAAATCAGCAGCAGGCTATCAATAACCTCCACAACAACAGATTGTGAGACATGAAGATGGGTTTGCTAAACTCGAGGGAATGATGCAACTAGTGATTGGTTCCACTAGAAAACTAGCTGACAGGGTAGACTTACATGAGTCAACGATTAAAAATATTGAGATCCAGTTAGGACAGATTTCCATGGACCTAAATAATCGTCCTCATGGGATGTTACCTGCAAATACCCAAATCAATCCAAAAGAGCACGGCCCGAAGAAATTGATGGCAGTGAGACTCTAAAATGGTAGGGACTTAGATTTGGAGCAAGAAATTGCTCGCGAAAGCAGGCCGACTGAGACACTGGTGTTAGTACCATTGAGATAGATGATTCAGCAGGTTTAACTGAGGTGATGGTACAAAATGCGCAAGAGAACACTAACAAAGAAGAAGAGGTTGTGAAAGAGACTGAGGCTGCACCAGAACCGACAGTAGAAGCAGTCCCTGAACAAGAGAAAAACCAAATCACATGGAAAAAGCGACCTCCAGCACCATTCCTTCAGAGATTGGCCAAGTATAAAAAAGATGAGCAGTACACGAAATTTTTGGAGATGTTGAAACAAATTCAGGTAAGCATTCCATTGATTGATGCTTTAAAGGGAATGCCTGGGTATGCAAAAATGATGAAGGACTTGATGTTCGGCAAGTTCGACTTTCAAGACTTGGCCACGGTTACACTGACTCAAACCTGCAGTGTTGTTGTGACGAGACCTATAGTTGAGAAGCTGTATGATCCAGGGAGTTTCACAATCCCTTGCACAATAGGCAACTTTGCTTTTGCTAAGGCACTGTGTGATCTGGGAACTAGCATAAATCTTATGCCCCTAGCTATCTACAAAAGGCTAGGGATTGGAAGAGCTAGACCCACGTCTATGCTATTAGAGCTGGCTGATCGAACCGTGAGGCCCTCTGGGATTCTAGATGATGTATTGGTGCAGGTTGGGAAGTTTGTGTTCCCAGAAGATTTTGTCATCATTGACTGTCGAGTTGACAAGGAAATTCCCATAATTTTTGGAAGACCATTCTTGGCCACTAGGAGAGCTTTAATTGACTGTGAAACTGAAGAGCTCAAGATGAGAATAAATGATAAAGAGATAACATTCAACATGCAGAAATCTATGCGTAGACCCAGTGAATTTGCCAATTGCTATCTAATAGATGCAGTGGATGTAGTGTTGTATGAGGATGATGAAGCATTGAATGTTAAAAAACCCCTAGCAGCTTGTCTCATGAGCTTAGACCAAGCATATGGTAAAGACTTGGCAGAGTGGGTACTGGCTCTTGAAGGCCAAGGTTTTTAGAAAAGGGAGCTTGAATTTGAGCCTTTGCATTTGGAGGAAAGAAAAACTCCTCCAGCTAAGACGTTAATAGAAGAGCCACCAAAATTAGAACTGAAGCCACTGCCCTCTCATCTCAGGTATGCATTCTTAGGACCTAAATCAACTCTACCTGTTATTATCTCATCCAGTTTGTTAGATGTGCAAGCAGAACATTTTTAGCAGGTACTAACTGAGTGCAAGACTGCAATTGGGTGGACCATTGCAGACATTAAGGTGATCATCTGGCCTTTTGTATGCATAAGATTCTACTGGAAGGTGGACACAAACCTTTCCGGGAACATCAAAGAAGGCTGAACCCCTACATGAAAGAAGTGGTGAAAAAGGAAGTGATTAAGTGGTTGGATGCGGGAATCATATTCCCCATCTCTGATAGCAACTAGGTTAGCCCAGTATAGTATGTACCGAAAAAGGGAGGAATGATGGTAGTGAAAAATGAGAAGAACGAGTTGATCTCTACACGGACAGTCACAAGTTGGAAAATCTGTATGGATTACAGGAAGTTAAACTTGGTTACCAGGAAGGACCATTTTCCACTGCCATTCATCGATCAGATGCTAGATAGATTGGCAGAGAGGTCTCACTTTTGCTTCTTGGATGGGTACTCGGGGTATAATCAGATTTCCATTGCCCCTGAGGATCGAGAGAAAACGTCGTTCACCTGCCCTTATGGAATCTATGCTTTTCGGCGAATGCCCTTTGACCTATGCAACACACCCGCCACATTCCAAAGGTGCATGATGGCCATATTCACAGATATGGTAGAGGAGATAATAGAGGTTTTCATGGATGACTTCTTAGTGGTGGGGAATTCATTCGATGATTGTCTTGTGAATTTGAGGCGAGTTTTGAAAAGGTGTATCGAGACTAATTTGGTACTAAACTAGGAAAAATGTCATTTCATGGTATCAGAAGGTATAGTCTTAGGGCACCTAGTGTTAAGTAAGGGTATTGAGGTGGATCGTGCAAAGGTTGATATGATAGAAAAGCTTCCACTACCCACCTCTGTTAAAGCAATTAGAAGTTTTCTGGGGCACGCCCGGTTTCTATAGGATATTTATAAAAGATTTTTCCAAAATTGTTAACCCCTTGTGTAAATTGCTTGAAAAAGATCACCCTTTTGTGTTTTCTGATGACTGTAGGATAGCTTTTGAGGAATTAAAGAAGAGACTGGTAACAACACCTATCATAGTTGCCCCCAACTAGGAGCAACTATTTGAGTTGATGTGTGATGCTAGTGACTACACTGTGGGAGCAGTTCTTGGGCAGCGAAAAGATAAAATCATGCATCCAATATACTATGTAAGTAGAACATTGAGTGGAGCCCAACTAAATTACACTGTGATCGAGAAGGAGATGCTAGCAATGGTGTTCGCATTTGACAAGTTCAGGTCTTACCTGATAGGCTCAAAGGTGATTATTTATACTGAACATGCTGCTCTTAAGTACTTAATTGAAAAGAAGGAGTTAAAACCGCACCTGATTCTATGGGTGCTACTGCTACAAGAATTTGATTTGGAGATCCGTGACCAAAAGGGAACGGAGAACCAAGTAGCAGTCCATTTATCCAGGCTAGAAGGAGCTAAAAAGAAGGTTGAGGTAGAAAAGATTCTGGAAACTTTTCCAGTTGAACAACTACTAGCCACGAATCTCGAGGAAGCGCCATCGTATGCAGACATTGCAAACTACTAGGCGAGCGATATTGTTCCTTATGACCTTTCCTCTGTTCAAAAGAAAAATTTCTTTCGGGATTGTCGCATGTATTATTGGGACGAGCCTTATCTGTTCAGGATTTGTGTTGATAACATGATCCGAAGATGTATCCCCGAGATACACCAGTCTTCTATTTTGTAGGCATGTCACGCATCACCATATGGTGGGCACTTCGGTGGAGTAAGGACAGCTGCGAAAGTCTTGGAGTCGGTGTTCTACTGGCCAACACTGTTCAAAGATGCACATCTATGGATAAAGGGCTATGATGAATGCCAACGAACCGGGAACATTTCCTGCAGACATGAGATGCCCATGAACCCAATTCAGGAAGTAGAAGTGTTTGATGTATGGGGGATCAACTTCATAGGGCCGTTCGTCAGCTCATATGGAAACAAGTACATACCCGTCGCTGTGGACTACGTGTCCAAATGGGTGGAAGTTGTAGCACTCCATACAAATGATGCAAAGAGGGTAATTGTTTTTTTGAGAAAGAACATTTTCACCCAATTTTGCACCCCAAGGGCGATAATGAGTGATGGAGGCACTCACTTTTCCAATAGAGCCTTTAAAAAGTTATTGGAGAAGTATGATGTACGCCACAAGGTGGCCACCCCATATCATCCATAAACAAGCGGGCAAGTGGAAGTCTCGAATAGAGAAATAAAGAGTATGCTGACTAAAATGGTGAATGCAACTAGAACAGATGGGGCAAGGAAGTTAGACGATGCACTGTGGGCATATCGAACTGCTTTCAAAACTCCAATTAGCATGTCGCCATAAAATTGGTATTTGGGAAGGCGTGTCATTTACCCATAGAGTTGGAACATAGAGCTTGGTGGGCGTTGAGACAGTTGAATCTTGATAGTGAAACAGCTGGAACAAGTAGAGTAACAAAATTGCATTACCTGGATGAGTTTAGATATCACGCTTTTGAGAGAACAAGATTATACAAGGAGAGAATGAAGATGATACATGATAGGAATATTATTAAGCGGAATTTTAAATTTGGAGACACAGTATTGCTATACAACTCACGTCTGAGGTTGTTTCCGGGCTAATTGAAATCATGATGGTCAGGCCCTTTTCGTGTGGTTGAAATTCACCCCACGGGAGCAGTAGAGATTGTTGCGAGTAATGACACTCGCACATTTAGAGTCAATGGGCATATATTGAAACATTATGTGGGCATGGAGGAAGCAAAGAAAGTGTTAGTGACCCATTTGATCAAGCCTCCAAAGTTGAGCATACCTTAAATGTTCTTATCTGCGTCGTACCGCGACGTTAAATCAGGCGCTTCATGGGAAGCAACCCAATGATTTATTGTATTTGTCATGCTACGACATTAACTAAGGCGCTGGTTGGGAGGCAACCCAATGCGTAATGATTTTTGTGTAGTTAGAATTTGTTATTTTGATTTTTGTAAGTACTGTCAAGTGCAGGTGAGCTTGGGCGAGTGATAAGTCCATCCGACGCTGAAGGGATAGGTAAAAATTTGAGAAATCTTGAGGCCCAGGTGCCCAGCCGCGCTCAGACCGCGCAAAACGCCAAGTATTTTGCCTCAGGTTTTCTCCCAGGAGCGCGGCCGCGCTCAGACTGCGCATATCGCCAAGTATTCTGCCTCGCAAGTGCGGCCGCGCTCGGACCGCTCCGCCTGACACTTTAGTTTAAGTTATTTTTTTTATTTACTTTCCTTTTATTTGTTTTGTTCTTTTAAATATAATATTCTAACTTATCCCCCCCAACCTGATATCTCTCTCTTTTTAATCTTTTCATGCCTAAACCTAAACCCTCCCTTACAAATCAAAACACACAATACCTCTCTTTCTTCCCAAAGAACACCAACCCTCATACTCCCCATTCACGATCAAATCACAACCACTCCACTCTCTTCTCTCTTCTAACAGTCCCCTCACATAACCTAACTATAACTCCACCAGGTAAGGTCACTTGTTTCAATTATTGTTGGGATATTTGAGTTCTTGGTTATGTAGTAGTTTTTTTCTTTAGTAGATTTCTTTTGTAGTGTGCTCTTGTATGCTAGTAGGTTTGTTGAGGTTGTTGTAGATATGTCTGTTGACAGGTGTGGTTGACATTGGGGCAATTGTCGGTGGGTTTGGCTTATACTTTGTTAATTGGGGACTCCGGTGAATGGTGCATATAAAGTATTTGTTAAAATGCCTCAGTGAGTTGTTAATGTTAAATGTGACCAATTGTGTGGATGAAGTCTGAGTAACTGCCTTTGGTTTACATCTTTTGTGTTTCTTTGATGATGTTCTTTATTTCAGGTAGTATGTCGCCTTTCAAGAAATGTCGGACCAGCGGTGCTTCATCCAGCGGCCAAGATGGATCCTCTAGAGCACGCGCTTCAACTCCTGCTCGTCCTTATGATAGCTACAAGTTCGTCTCCACCGCAGCTCAGGACCGTTTTGGTGACAAGGCATCCAAGAAACCTATACCGAAGAGGGGTATTGATATAGGGTCTCTTCAATATGGCTTTCCCAACTTGTACAATGAGTTGGTCCGACGCGGGCTGGAGATTTTCTTTAAAGAATCGTATGACGCAAATTTGATGGTTGTGTACGAATTTTATGCCAATATTAAAGAACATATGAACGGTGTGTGCACAGTGTGCAAGAAGAATGTGGACGCCTCTGTTGAGGCCATTCGGAGAGCATACCGGTTGCCCGCACCTGTGACGAAGGCGGAGGACTACTATGAAGCCTATGGCAGACAATACATCCAGTGGGATGTATTCTTTGAAACAATATGTGTGCCTGTCAAGGAAATTGTGTGGATGAAACATGGGCGTAAGTTCCATTCAGTGGCACTAACCTTTGACGGGAAGTGTTGGTTGTATGTCATCAATAACCGTCTACTCTCGTCCTCCAACACCACTGAAGTGAATGCTCCTCGAGCTGCATTGATTTGGTATTTCATGAATGGCCACAATTTTGACGTGCCCAAGCTTATTAACGAGGAGATGTTTACTCGTTGTCCGGTGAAAAGGTATAGTTTCTTCTTCCCTTCCCTAGTCACTAGGCTATGCCGGGTAGCTCGGGTGCTGGAGAATTTGAGCGTAGATGGAAAAGTGCAGAAAGAGCAAAGTTTTGAACGGATAAGGTGACTATTGGGAAGGACCCTGTGGCACATAGAGGTGATAATAGTGATGACTCGGATGCATCTGAGAAGGGAGAGGATGATCAGGAGGAAGTGGGAGCTGAGTTGCCTACCCATGAGCATGTTGCGGAAGC